ACTTCTCACTATTCCAATTCTTCAGCCCAATCAGAAACCCTGTGTCTGCTTGCTCCCATTTCCTGTACATCAGGAGTAAACCTCATTTTAAAACATAAAAAAGCGGGAGGCACGCCATAGCAGTATAGATTCAAGCTTTTGAATGATCTGCTATCGGTAACAAAACACTTCTCTTTTGATTAACTTTGGGGGCATCAACTCTGGTGTCAGAATCCCTTTAAATTATTACAAACCCCCTCCTAAAGTTCTGCTGGCAGGAGCCAGGGAAGAAGAAAGAAACTTTGTAGGATCCAGTGTAAAGGAGCCTGATCTCCAAGTCAATTTCAGAACAATTTCATCCTAGCCTGCACTGCCTACCTGCTAGCAAATGAACTTGCTGTGTTTTTCAATAGACCCAAATAGCTCATAAGAAATCCTCACTGGCTGCTTGTAAGAACTCTGTTAGATCATATTATGGAGGGAAGGGCAAACAAAACCCAACCAGTGTTCCCCCTTCCTTTCTCTTCTGTCATTCTCACCTCACCTGTGATTAAGTACCCTGTTTCCCCGAAAATAAGACAGTGTCTTATATTACTTTTTGCTCCCAAAGATGCGCTAGGTCTTATTTTCAGGGGATGTCTTATTTTTCCATGAAGAAGAATACGGTACACATTGTTAAATAAAAATAAAGGAAATTTATTACCTGTGTACGGTACGGTAGCACGGTAGTTGTCAACACAAACCAGACAAACTGTGAATCCTACAGCATCAAGAATTTACTCATTTATTCAATGACAATCATGTCATCATCTTCTGGAACATCATCATAACAATCCAATTCCTGAATTTCCTGGTGAATTTCTTGTGACTCCAATTCTTTCAGAATCAGTGGACCAAATCTCTCATGTTTAGCCTAGGGGGGCCTTATTTTTGGGGGATGCCTTATATTTCACTCAGAAGGAAACCTGTAAGTAGGTCTTATTTTCGGAGGATGTCTTATTTTCGGGGAAACATGGTAGCAGGACGCACCCTGGATGGTTAATTAGGTGTTAATATCTTCCAGTGGCTTATACCCATCGGTAGCTCTGTTGTCTCAGGGGACAATACCTGTAATTCCCACAGTTCTGAAACTGCTTTCCCCTGCTCCCCAGTGGGCATTACTTCCCATCTGAAATTGTGTGAATGTTAATAGCTTTATTATATTTCCTGTCAATGCTGGAAAGAGCAGCCCACCAAATTTTCCCACTGGCTTGTCCTTGTCCCAGAGTTTTCCAAATATTGTAAAAAAATAAAAATAAAAAGCAAACCCAGCCCTTCTACTTAAGCTCATTTATTGCTAATCATTTCATTTGGTGCCAGGAAAAGCAAAAACAAACAAACAAAAAATAAACAAACAAAAAAACACAGACCCTAAACGAGGACCCTACAGTAATTTTGGGATCGAGGAAATGAAAGACTCAGCAAGTGGCAGGTGAAGGGAGTTTCAATATTGGCATCGGTGAGCGGGAGCAGTAAATCTGAGATTCTGGCAGGTGACTGAGCATGTGCTTTTAAAACAAAAGCTCTTTACAGAAGCATCGTTTAGTTTTAAGTAATGAGTGCTGTACTCTGGCAAAAATCCCTCCTTCCTTTCCCCACCCCACTCCCACTCCCCTACATGCACAGTATTTCTTTCTTCAAGTTGTCCCCTTCGGTAGTATCCTAGAGATGACTAAAAATAATATGAGTGCATATGGCATCATTAGGCTCGTTACTCGGTACCTGCCCTGCTATAATTAATAGATGAAATCAGCTCAGGAGTGGGCCAGCGCCCACAGAAAGGAAAACAGCCTGGCAGGAAGAGGGTGGGCTGGCGGCTGGGGGAGCGGACTCTAAATAAACAAACAAGCAACAGCAAACAACTGGGCAAGCCCCAGTAATAAAACGCTTTAAACGTAATTATTTCCTCTTCTTTTCTCAGTGCCAACACACACACTGATGTCATTTGCTGAGGGTGCACTCATGGGAGCTGTGATGGATCAATCGGTCCCCTCTCCAAATCTGCACGCACCGCAGCATCCTACTCTCCGCTGTCTCCCAGGAGGGGACTCGCTCTAAAGACTGAGTGTTTAAGACCCGAGGGGCCTGAAGTGAAGACAGAGAGTTAAGATCGTCCACTGCTTTCACCTGGGCTTTTCAGACAGAGGCGCCCGAAATCCAAAGTCTGTGTTTTTTTCACGCGTCCTTCGAATGAGGACACCCGATTCACCATTTCTGTTAAAATATTTTGATGCGCTCTGCAAGGGAAACAAGGTTACGACACCTTAAGTTTGACACTGGAATTGAATAGCTGGGCTAAGGCATCCACATCAACACACGGCATGGAGAAACCATGCTTGCGTTTTATTTCTGGAGGATTACGGGCAGCGTGGGAAGGCGAGTTCTAACAAAAGAGAAACAAGGTGTCTGAGGGCTTTTACTGTTTGGGGGTGGGGGATGTTTTGGTTTTTATCCCTGTTCATACAATAATAAAGCCTTCACAGCTGGATAGATACAATCAGGATGAAGCACGTCCGCGCTGCTGGTGGTAAGACCAGGGGGAAAAAATACTGATGGCTACTCAGAGCCCAGGAGGTGCTGTTCCCAGGAGTTCCATCAGTTTCTCCCATAGGAGACAGAGAGGCTGCCACAGGCCTCTCCCCTACGTCTGTATCCCATCTGCCCTGGCGGAAGCTGCTCTGTAAAGCTTAGTTGTGTCCGGATGGGTCTTAGCTAATGTCAGGAACATCTGAAATGAGCATAGCACAGACTTGAGCAGGCCACGGTCCCAATAGCACCACCTTCTGAATTAGTGTTTCACACGAAATGAAAGAATGGGTGTTGAAGGCCCGCCTTCAACGTTGGTGTAAACCATGAGTAGTTGTGTTATCTCCTTTTGAGCAGCCTAGGTAAGAGACAGCCTTTAAGGTGAACTCCAAAAGCATCCTTGGTATTAGAGCCAAACAACATGACTTGTTCCCATGGCAGCGATGCTAACTAACATCACACCTTACCCAAAGATGGTGCCATGGGAAAGTTTACATCAAATACAGTGTGTGATGGTCTCTGTGGATCTTTATGTTAGGAGATCTGTCCTCAGGACAAATCATGCATTTTGATATTTTGTGTATGTTAAGCTAATGGAAAATAGTAGTGGGGATCAAGTGATGCTACAGAATGGAGAATTTATTTTTGTGTGTGTGTGATAGCACTTAGGATATTTTGTAATATGCTCAAGAACCATAATATAATCTAGACTGTATTTCTAAGACTAAATGAAGCGTAATTAAATGGCCTCTCAAATGGCTTGTGATTTAATTTTCATACTCTAGCCAAAGAAATTGCCAGAAATAAGCCACAAAGCTGTACAGAGTTGCAATTACCCAGAGAGCAGAAAGCGAGTGGCTTTCCATTTTTGGCTTCCACTGCTGAAATCCCTTAACCAAAGTGACTTTCTGAAAAATAAACTAACTCTCCCAAGAGTATCAAGTATTGAGCTTTTCATATATCAGTTTATAATATCTAATATCACAGAGTAACTTTGAGGAATTGTCTTCTTCCCTCCCCAAATTCCCCATCTGGCCAAATGCCTTTCTCTTGCTTGCTCTCAGCTGTCAATCATGTTTGCAGCTGAAATTTGATTTCTCTCCCACCAGTAACCTTATATGAAATATTACCAGGGAGGCCAGGACCGGCGTGAACCTTGCCTTAAAAGTTCATTAATTCTTTACTCAAAATGGATGTTACAAAACTGGCTGGTGGACATAGATCATCATATTTAATAGATGGCTTTCAAATTTCAATTATAAAGACAAGGATAAAAGAAGTGAACACAAAAGGAAGGAATTAAGTATTGGTACTGCATGCACACACATGGACACACAAATTAATCCCAAAGGGATACATTGAGTTAAAATCTATGTATGAGAACTGTTAAAGAAAATGTTAATTTTGTATAAGCCTCGGAAAGAAACCATGTTAAATATTCACAACCCAGCAATTCAAAGATTCTCATAATATAACAGCAGCATGGAAAAGTAAGAATTCAGATATCATTTTTGAAATACTGCGGGGAAATGGGGCTTTGTTTTCGGAAACTCTAAATTCACTGGATCGTGAAACTTTCTCCTCTGCCAAAGGTTGCAGTTCAACATTGTGATGTTTGCCTTCTCAGTTTCTCTAGAAAACAAAAACTTTGTATTTCATGCACATTTCTCAGCAGGCAAAAATTTCAATTAAAAAAAAAAAATCAAACTTCTTTCTATTAGCCAATGAGAGGTGACACGTATACATAACAGGTTGACACTCAATAATTATTGGTGTAAGCGTGTTGATCTAGTTCTCTGAATGAAGAGGATTCATAATTAAATTCACACCGGGATATTTGGCATTGAAAAACCCATTTAAAAAGCTTCATTTCATTTTTTTTTTTTTTATAGATGAAAATCCGACTTCTGCCTCCTGCCCATCTCCTCCCCTCTTTGTCTGCTCCAAGTGAAGCAGAGAGTAACTCCTAGTCACATTGGCATGCAGAAGGGGGACATCTCATGCTTTGCAATTATCCTGAATTTCCCAAATGTGAGTATGGAGGGAATGACAGGAGACTGTAGATTAGAAATGTCCATGAACCCCGGGTTTGGGCACCAGCTGGACAGATTTCCCCAACTTCTCAGGTAGAGGGACTAGCTGGCTCTTTGCTTGTCCATAGACTGATGCCCAGACTAAAGCTCTGAGATTTACTCCAACTGGATTAATGACTCTGTATGCCACACCTATGGAACGAAATAAACACAGAAATGCTTGCATGCTGCTCACACATATTGCATCACTTCCCTTCCCCCGGTGTCACTGTTTCTGCCACTTGTGAAACCCACGAACTGGCAGGACTGAAACAGGAGCTTTTCACACCCCGAGAGCGATCAGCATTCCTTGCTCTCGCTCGCTTTCCCCCTCACGGAAAACTCAGTAACGCAGGCACATGCAAATTAGAAAGCAAGATGTACCTCTTTGACTTCAGGCAACGGGAGCTTTCACATCACTGATGTAGAGGATTCCCTTGGGTACCTGATTCAGTAAATATATTAAAATAAACAAAGGGTCATTAATAACCACGCAGAGAGCTTCAAAGACAGTACGTTAAAGGCAGCCTAACTATCTCTGAAAAGGGCAGAATGAGACCAAAAGAAGAGTGTGATTTCGTCCCACTGGCTTTGGCGTCCTGGCCTCAGCCCTGCCAGAGGAGGGGTTTGTATGGAAGGGAATGGCTTGCTATGCAAGGTCACTTCGAAGCTCTGGCCATGGCTCCCACCCCAGGGAGTCGGAGACAGTGATACCCACTGGCCTGGCAGCCTGGGTCAGCTTGGAAACTGAGAACTGAGCAAATTTGGGTTCACAGTGGGGCGGGGTGGTCTCTGAGGATGCTCATAGATCACCGTCCCTCAGAGAACCAAACTGGTTCTGCTTTGGCTGGCACACAGTCAGGGCATATCCTCTTCTACGTCCCCTTCCTCCTTCACTGCTCTGGTCTCTTCTGCTGGTACCGCTGACCTTAATTGCAAATGTTCTCTTAACAAATGGAACCATTTAGATACCACCCTTGTATTTATTAACTTCCTCTCTGTTTAAATTAGTAGCAGGGAATGCTTAGAACAGTAATATGAAAATGAGGTTGCTTTAAAAAAAAAAAAAGGGCTTTTTGCTTCACAGTGAATAACAAAGCACAGTAATTCAAAGTAGTTAGCTTTCTATGGTTCAAAAAAACCCCTTATTGCTATTAGCCATACTAATGTAAGTGGCAAAATAATTATCACTTACTGTACGGAGTCCAATATTTTCCAGACAGCAGTTTAATAACAAAGCAGACCTGTCATTTCTCCCTATAGTTAGTCACCCTGTACAAGTTCAGACTGTCAAAATATATTTAAAATCTAATTTTAAAAATTCAACATGGCTACAGAAAATCTGTGTACAGTAATTGCGATACACGGGTAAGTTGGTCTAATTTTTTTCCAACTTGGATATTCAGTATTTTTTTTAATTTAATCCCCCCCTTTTTATTCGGATTACCCTACAATTGATGTGCACAGAGAGATACACTACACTCCTACATCTGCTAAGATCTGTAGGCTGCATAACTGAGCACAGAATCGTTCTTTACTTAAATTTCCACTTTGTGTAATTTCTGATTATTTCAAATGCCCTTTTTCTAAATGTTCTGAGGATGCATCAAAACAGATATACAAGTCTGTACTCTTGTATCTGTCAGAGCCACTCCAAGTATATTACAAGCTTTCCTTCACATTTCCCATTAAAAATGCTTTTAAAATCTTATGGTACAAACTACTCTTCTTCATGTAACAGGATACATTAATCTTTTGCCACGTGTATTATTTCTATGCCAGAAAAAAAGAAAAAAAGAAAAAAAAAAAAGAAACAAGAACCATGCTGAAGATATAAAACCTGGAAGGGTTATCATTAATATCAATTGTTCTCCATTTGGAGTTCAAATGGCTAATCTAAAAAAACAACAACAACAACAAAAAAAATCTTCCTATATAAGGTTACTTATTATTTTTTTTTTTTTTTTACAAAAATCTTTAGAAACATCAGATTCTTTTAGAAACGCAAGTGAATGGGGTTTAAAAGCTTAAGAGATCGAGGAGAGAGTATTTTTGTAACTCCTCTGGGGCATTGCAAACATATGTTAAGCTTCTGCAAGGGATATTTACATGAGATCATATACTTAGGAGGCATTTTTCAATTTTAGAAAAATATTACAAAGCAATAATTGAACAGAGAGAGGCTTTGCAAAAAATGCCCCTTCGCCTTCCTGACCATCTCACTGACAGTCTTTGTTATTTTTGGAGAAAACGAATCAGGCCTCATTAAATGTGATCTTTGGCATCTGGCCTGAAATCTCATAAAGTAGATGTCCTCTTTAGATGACTGGTGTCATTTTCCTCAAGATGACCTCTACTCTCTGGCTACCTGGGGGCCCCATCCTGTTATTGAAGCATTCGCTTGCAGAAAGGAGGGGGGGGGGGGAAGAGATTTCTGTTTGCACACCCGAGCAGAGGCCAAAAGGCATTGTGGTTTCTCTGTTCTCATCGCCTTCACCCGGGGGGCTAGTCTCAGAAGAAGCGTGCTGCGGGCAGGGGGTCTCGCATGGGAGCGAAAGAGATTTTTGAGCTGGACCACTATGGCGCAGTCCAGGCCAGATGTCTGCCAGCACAGAGCCTCTGACAATTGGATCTATTTATCTAATAATTATATAATATTTTTGAATAGCATAGGAATGTGCAGTGATGTTCCGAGGAAGACTTTCAAAGTCTTTAAAAGCAGGGAAACATCATGATCAGTGGCCCCTGACAATGCGCAACGGAAGGTCAGCCCGTGTCCCCGGAGGAGCTGGCCGGAGTCCTGCTAAGGGGGGCTGAGGTTTTATGGATGGATCATGCTAAGACTGACATTTCAGGCTATGCTCTGCCCGTGCCTACCAAAATATAGAGTAGACTGATTCGCCCTGTCGTGTGTTTATTTTTATTTCATAATGTAAGGAACTGCAGATTTATCTTTTAATAGCTTCCTCCTCTGCAATGTTACTTTAAAGAGCTCTAGAGATCGCTAGATAAATGATAGCTAGATAGGAGATAGATAGACAGATAAATGGCAGATGAAAAAAAAAAATACGTTGGAGTCACTGCCTGAATACAGAACGCGTCAGACGTCATTTTGAACAGATTTAATCTCAGATGATTACCTCGGGTTTCCCCCCCATTCCCTTCCACAAGGAGTTTAGTATAATCTGACAGTATAAGTGTCTTGGATGCTGAGATCATTAACTTTTAGTTTCAGCATATTTATATGAATATTAATAAATCCTTCCTCGAGAGAAAGAAAAAGAAGGAAAAAAAAAAAAAGAGATTTTAGAAGGCACAAAGATATTTGCCTAACTCCTCCGTAGTCCAAGATCTAAAAACCTGAGAGTCCCTATAAGCAAAAGCCCCTCCAGGGAAGGGCTCCTTTCTGAATGAATCATTTTAAAGTTTGGCCTCTTAAAACCGTTTCTGAGTCCCTGAGATCCGACTGCAACTGTGTTAAATTCCCGAATGCAAGCAAAGCCTCATGCTGGAGCGGTTGGCAAAACTCTCATAAAGTTTGCTTGACCTGCTTTCCTTTATAATGAGCATCAAACTACCACAGAAAACCCCAGCCACATGGAGATTTCTGTAAAGATTTTAAAACTGGCTTTTGGCATATCCTCCTTTCTTTCTCTTTTCCTCCTTCCTCCATTTCTAACCAGATAGATCTGGAAAATGGGCTGGAAAATGAATGAAGTAAAAAAAATAAAATAAAATAAAAATCCAGTGATCTGGAGGCTCTGGTCTTATTTACAGAGGATTCCTAGGCAGCTGGAAGGAGGACTGGGGGATCCCAAGGTGAAGGGCAGAGCCTTCCGGGGCTCAATCCCCCTCCCTCCCTCCAGGTGCCCATCTGGGAGAGCAGCGGAGCAGCTAGTATTGATGTCCCTGTGAGCGCTGCTGGCTGTGGCTGGGACAGTTCTCTTGGAAATCTTAAACCAAATTCCAGTACAAATCCCAGTCCTTTGCTGGGGTGTGGACACAGGGAGTTCGGGGTCCTGGCACCGAGGCAGTGTTGGGGCATCTGGAAGGGCACCCCGGCTAGCTTCTGAGCCCGCAGGCCTCCGGGCCTCTGAGCACAGCTGCTGTGTTGGGGTCTCAGCCAGGCCATTACGCAGGGACAACGCCATGACCTCAGTCTGCTGCTGGGACCCATCCCTTCTGTCCAGCCCCTGTCCTTCCACACCTGGCAGCCTTCCCAGGAACCCCCAGGATGAGGGGCACACCTGGCCCTACTCAATGCGGCCAACAGGAGCCAAGGTGATGCCCAGGGTGGATGGGCCCAGCAGTGCAGATATATTAATATATAAGGAGGAAGCTGGTGAGAGGGGAAAGTGTTTGGGGGAGGGGAAAAGGGGGGGGGGGTTGGGAACGCATGGAAACTGGGAGAAGGGGCGATCTCAGTATCCTCCCTGCCTTCATCGCCTTCATTCCGGGCTGGGCTTCCAGGCTCTTCCTTGGCATCAGAAGCTCCAGCCAGCATTAAACACCCAGATCATGTGCCTACCCTTCTCCCAGAGCAGCTGCAGGCCCTGCTCCCCACACTCGCCTCTGTCTGGGGCAGGTGCGATGAAATGGGTCCAAGTACTGACTCAAGTACTGACTTCGGAGTCTCTGAGGGCCCCCGGGGGACCAGGCAGGAGAAAAATGATAGAGAGAACACTGGAATGGCACAGAGGTCGGGCAGTTAAGAGGCTGGAGCCTGGGAGCTCAGGACATCACTGTTTTCGGGACTTCTGGGATCTTGGGGTTGGCCAGGGCTTGTCAGTCACCCTACAAAAAGACCCTTCCTAGTTGGATGCAGGGGCCCTGGGAACCGCCTAGAGGTGACCCCTGGCAAATGGCGGTCATAAGCCAAGGTGGGCTTCTCTTGGTAATACTCTCATGGGCCCTGCACAGCCACATCTTCCAGCTCTCTCTCCACTCTTCTGGGCCTCTTTCAGGGTTTCCTGGCATCTTGGCATCCTCAGACCTGCTTTCCTGCAGGAGACCTGCCAACGAAGGCCAGAAACCCATGGGTCCAGGCCTCCGGAGGTGGACGAGGCTACGGAGCAAGTCTGCGTTGCAAAATGGGCATCTGCACCGCTGACCCGATTCTTCAGCCCAGGGCCCCCTTCACAAGCATCCTCCTTGGGGAATCTCTCAGGGGAGCGGCTTTCAGTCCTCCCTGCCCAGCTCTCTCTGATTTCCCGACTTCTCTTAGTCCCCACCCGAAAGAACCAGCCACGAGGAAAAGCAGCTCTCTGGAATCTTAGTGTGGAAACGCTCAAGGCTGGTGATCAGAATGTTTAGAATAGAGAAACTCAATCCAAAACCCCAGTGTGCAGCTCACATCCAGGCCCGGGCTGTGTGGGGACTTGGGGCGTGGGGGCTGAACACAGAACTATTTCCTCTCCTCCCCTCCCTTCCCAAATCTCCACAGAC